TCCTTTGAGATGATGCTGGTGTGGTTTTTTGTGCTTTTTAAATAATCATCAAAATCTCAAGTCAAATAACTTTACAGATTTTAAAAACCTCAATAGCTTTTTTCCTAAAAGACGTAATCCAAAATACCACCTACTCTTTCAATGCAAGCATCAATCACCAGTAGTCAAGTTGGAATCAGAATAAAAATGCACTGTTCTCCAGACACTAACTTAAATTTACTGAAACAAGTACTGACCAAGTTAAACAAGCAATAAAAGTGGTGGTTTGGGGGTACTGAAGGATAGATGAGTTCCTAATTCGTTCTGTAAGGCTCAGATTTAAATAGTTTTGTTTCTCTTTTCTTCATTTTTAAATGAAACCTTTTTTGTCCCTCTGCTTCTCTTATCTGTTGATGTAACTGGTGTTGCATGAGAAATTACCTAATTTCAATAGCTGGGGACAGTTTTTCTATCAGTTGCAGTGTTTCCTCATTTATTTAATGAGCCTGGATAGGTAGGAAATTAAGTATTAGGAGCTACAGATGAAGAAAACTAAAACAGAATTTTCTGTTTATTAGGGTGGTTTAAAAAAAAAGTAAAAGGAAGATCTGTGTTAATAGAGCCAGTACATATAATTGGTATTTGGATTATGGCATGATTATTACTTCGCAGACAGGGGACTCTGTTATCACTCAGTCATCAACGAAGTAGCTGCGTTCTGTGCTCATCTCCTCTCTGAAACTGAACGAAGAGCTAGTTATTATCTTCAAGTGGGGTTATTAATGAGGGGAAAAATCATCCCCAATTACTGTGAAGCAAAATATTTCAACATTTACATATCTGAGACTTTAATTTTTATCTAGTCCTTCATGAGTTCTTAAGCTTAGACTGTATTCACTTTTCCAAACATTCCCATAGTGACACATGGAGGGAAACTTGCACCCGTCCAAGCGCTGTCTTCCCCAGGTGTATGCTTCAGGGTCACAGAAATGCTGCCCGTCCTGTCCTTGTGCTGCCAGAGACTGATTTCCACTGAGATTCCTTCATGCTACACCATACAAACAGAGTCTCAAGCACAGGCTTCATTAGAGAAGTAAGAAATCCTGACCTGCCTATACTGTCTATGTTCACAGTCCTTTTTTTCAAAACAGCCTGGGATTTATTTGGAAGAGCTCATTTCATTCTTTTGCTTCTTTTTGAACAAGGTATTGATTCTTGTGAAATTAATGGTTTAGAAGTTTTGACTCTGAAGCTCCTAGCATAAAACCTGAGCAACACAAAGGTGAGGATTTAAATTCAGTTAAACATATGGGCAGTAACCAGGAGATGGGAGAAGTGCTGTCCATACTGCGAATCCATCCATCAACACAGATGCAAAGGTTTGACCTTGGCAGGTTCTGGAGGTAGGGACGTCAAACACAGTTTGCAGTCAATTGGAAATGTAGCTACTAGACAAAGAAAACTCAATAATTACACAGCTGTTTCAGTAGATTACGGATTTCCTAGAAAACAATAACACAGCCATCTGTGAATGGAAAAAGTAAACCATCTTTTTTTTTTCATTCAAAAACTTAATTCCTGAAAGTCATCAGATATGTCCTCTGTAAACTTCTTATCTCTTTTCAAAACCCACAGAGTCTGTAACCAATCAGTGTAGATTTCTCTACAGCATTTATACCCCTTAATGCTTCATTGATTTACAGTGAAACTGCTGAAGAAAGAACTGTCTTGGACAGTCACATAAATATTAAATTAATTTCTTGTGAAGGATGGCTGCTATTACACTAAATATTAAATGAATTCATAATACTTGGACATTTGCAATAAATCACTTCTGGGACTGCATACTAACATCTCATTCCAAATATTTTCTTTTTTTTTTATATTAAAGCCATGGAAAGGACTGGTTGTTCGCAAGGAAATTGTAACACTGGAGTCATTAACGAATTCCCACGGCAGAAGGAGGAGTTTTAACTTAGTCCCATTTTACAGATGGGGGGAGGAGGCATGAAGGGGTTTGGGTTGAACTGCTGATCACAGGAGGTTCAAACCCAATCTGTTTCTCATGAGAGACATCACAGTAAATTATCAGCTCCTGACAGTCCTTGTTTTGCTTGAAGTGCTCTGAGCAGCGACGGCAGAGGATCTGGCAATGTGAAACCAGAAGGCTGAGAGCATTTGCCAGACTCAAAGGGAGAAAGAGCTGGATGTAATGTCTAATTTCCAGGCACCCAAAGTGGTTAATACCAGTTCACCTCTAATTATCTTGCCCAAGGCCACGATGGGAAGGAAGGCCTCCTCAGGTTTTGACTAGCAGGACTAGTCTTAGCAATTGAAGTAAAAGTCATCTTCTTTCTTCAGAGAACACAGATCTTAGTCTCAAAAGTTTACTAAAATGCTCAGTGGATAAGAAGGGCTAAAAATCAATTCTTTATTTTCCCTTTTGTTAAAGTAGAACAAAGGGCACATCAGCAAGTTCATTATAGCTCTCTCTTATCTGAGGGATTGTAGCTTGAGCGTAGAAATTTATGCTAGGGCTAACCACGTCGAGTGAAAGCTGTTCTTGTAAACAAAATTGAATGACTGTCAGACTCATCTGCTTTTTAATGTGCAGATGGGTGTGAATATGTGCATCTCCTTCTTTCCAAAGATTGTTGCTTTTTTTAATGAAAATTTTCTAATGAAAATTTGCCAACGTATTTAAATTAGAGTAAAAAATCAGAAAAGCTGCTACCACATCGGAATATTAATTGTTCATTATACAGAGCTTTAGTTCACATAGTTATTTTGCATGTGCAAAGCTGCCAATTAAAGAGGCTCAAAGTGCCCACTGCTGCACAATAGCCGTTTCTCCAGAGCCCCACAATGACTATTGTATTCTGTCACTGACCTTTAGACACCTTCAAATGCATATTGACACAGTATGCTGGGATCATTAGAGCTATTGTTTCAGTGTGCCATAGGGAAAGGAGAGTTTTGCAATTTCATGAAGAGCTTTAAAATTTGATATAATGATGACAGCAGTGATATTTCTTAATTAGACAGTGAGAAAAACACTGAAGTATTTTTTTGGTGTTCCAGGTAAATTCCAACATGTACACCTACCACAGTTCCCACAACAGTCCCTTCCCATTGGGGAAAGAAGATGTTTATCAGGGGCATTTGATCTACTTTTCTATTGTTTCCAGGGGAATTTATTTAGTATTTTTGACCTGATGGTGCCATATGGCCAGCCTCCCTTAGCTTCCACAGATTCTGCCTGGATGAACAACTTGGCAGGATGGATCCTTTCATCCTGTAAGTGACAAATGCCCTTTTAAACACAGCCTATAGTTGGAACTGGTGGTATGCGGGAGATTGGGATCTGGAAGCAGAGTTCAGACTCTTCAAAGATCAGTGGATGTTGTCTCTGTAATAACAACTGTGCTCAATTTTAACTCTTCCATGTCTTAGCATCCAAGGTATTTCTGTTTTCTTACCAGTCTGTGACAGCTAAAGAGTGCACACAAGAACTTTGGGAGCAGAGATGTCAGATACTTCAAGTACATTTACTGTAGTAAATCCAAGCATCTTCTAAAAGCTTATATTTATTTTATTGTAGCCCTTCTATTCTTTAAAGCTGCTTTGAGGAATTACTTCAGCAGTCAGCACATAAAAGAGCATAATTTTAAACCTTGCATGGGACATTTTATCTAAAGAGAATAAATACGTTACTGGCTTGTATTTCCAAAGAGTATTGCTGTTTGAAGACAGAGATAGTTTCTGTTCTATAAGTATTGCAGTTTCTAGGTTTGTTTTTATCCCCTGGGATCCTATTATAGAACAAATTATCAAACATGGCTAAACTTCACAGCCCTGAGTCTCTGAAGATAGTCTTGAGTAATGACTTGCACTTCTGACAGAAGAGGAAGAAATCTAACAGACCTTTTGCAAAACTTCTTGTATAATTAAAAAAATGGAAAATTTACTGCACAGTATTGCTGCTTGTAACTCTAGCCTAGTGCTGTGCAGCATGTACTGGAGGATGGCCAGTTTCTTCACACAGTCCCTCTACCCAAAAAACTTTCTAGCAGAAGGACATAATACTGTGTATTTGTGTGTGCTTGAATTAAATGTGCATCAGGATTTCTCATACTGCTATAAAACTCACAAGGTCAGATGTGTTTCTTCAGTAATGCAGGCTGAACTTTTTTTTTTTTCTTTTTCCATGTTAATTTAAAAGATACTGTTACCTTGTTTTAATTCCTCTGTACCAGAAACCCTTCTAGAACGTTGAAACCTTCCATGCACCACCACTGCAATTGCCAGTTGTGAATTTTGTAGGCTACCTTCAAAAATCAAGGTGATACCTTTACCTTAACGCACAAGGAGAAGTGACCTACTTTTAGGAGGGAGGTGTGAATAGGTACAGCTGTGTGATGCAGGATGTGAAGGGGAGCACACACTGGAAAGAGCTATTAAACCACTGTCTTGTGCCTTTGTTGTCACTAGAGTGTATCTCCATCAGGCAGTAATGATGAGAACTTCTCTGGCCATGGGCTGGATTGGATCTGAAATCTTTCCTCAGACCCTTGTGCTTCCCAGCAGAGGTTTTTAGCCATAGTGCCCGATTTGTTACTTTTGGGGAGCTTCTCTGTTGAGGGACAGGACTGTCCTGGAAGAGAGAAGGCAGCACTCCAACTGCCGCCTTCTCTGCATGGGGAGTTTGTACCTTTGCTGTCCCACTGTAACTGTACTGTTTCTTTCCTTGTGAAAGATCACTGCCTGGGTGGATTTGAAAATGGAGATAAACTTTGCAGTATGTTAGGTCCTTACTCTGCTGAACAAGTTGAAGCCCTGTTGGATGGGGAGGGATTTTCATAGGATCTTTATTACTGAAAGCTCAAATTCTACCTGGATCCACCTCTAGTCATGGTAGCTTTGCGAGGTTTCCTCCCACACATGTTGGGATTTTCCAAAAGAAAAATGAAGGGAGTTGGTATGTCTGCTCACTGCCCATATTTTGTTTGGTTCCTTTGCAGAAGGAGAAGAAGAGCGGGCTGCTGAAACTTCTAGCAGGAGCATCAACAAAAAAGAAGCCACGCTCCCCACCATCCGTGTCCCCCACACATGACCCACAGGCAGCCATCGAAGGAGTCCTGCAAGGGGCGGTGGGACCAGAGCTCTCCTCCCTCTCCAGCCATGGCAGGGCTGGCTCATGCCCTATTGAGAGTGAAATGCAGGGAGCCATGGGGCTGGAGCCTCTGCACAGGAAAACAGGCTCCTTGGATTTGAATTTTTCCATCCCTTCTCCTGCCAGACAGCCCCTCTCTTCTATGGCAGCTATTCGTCCAGAGCCCAAGCCTTTGCCCCGGGAAAGGTAAGCTGTGTATCTCCTGAGGTTGCCTGTATCCTCAGGGTGCATTTGGAGGAGACCTGCAAGTTTAATTTAGTCAAGGGTTGTTGCAGTTTTGCTGCTCTGTGGATTGACTGTAGGTGGCTCAGCTGTCTGTTAGGAAGATGGTGCTTACATGCATCTGTCCATTGAAAATCATTCAACACACAGTGCAGGTTTAATTTCATTGATTACAAAAAGTGGTGAGCAGCACCTGTCCATGGCACTGTACAGCTCTGGTCTAAGTATGGAGGACAGCAGTGCTTTCTCAGCCCAAAGGGTGTAAATGCTCTTGGCAAAGGCCACTTTTAAAGTGGGATCCCTATATTTTAATAAACTTATGGAGTTGTCATGTGACACTTCCTGCCTGAGGGCAACAGGGATGGTGTGTTTGCCCATCAAGACCCTTTCTGTCCTGTTCTGCAATACCAAAGGCTTGTTTCAAATTCTCCTTGTTTAGGATCTCCTTGTGTAGTGTAGCCCAACAAGAGTTGAATCTTGGACCTGCACTGTTCAACAAGGTCTTTGCTGTTGCACAACAGAGGACTGAAGTGGGAGGTAGACGATGAAGCAGGCAGACCCATTGGCACAGAGCTAATACAACACATTGGTAAGGAGAACACAGAGTAACAGCATATTTCAGAAGAGCTGAATCTGAGGCAAAGTGGAGTGGCCTCAGAGAAGCGTCATAAGGATGATGGAAGATTTAAAACAATAAACTTGCAGAGAGTGATACAGGGAGCTCTGGTACACCTGGTGAAAAGCAGGCTTAGGAATGGCTTGGTAACAGTCTGTTAGAGACTGCAGACAGGACAGACATGGGAATATTTTTACGCTAGACTGGGCATTTTGTCTAGAAGAGATGCTGTTGTTCAAGCGCAGCTATTAGACTTGGAGCAGAAATAAATACAGGCAAGTCCTTCAGCATTGTAATGCAGGTAGTGAGAGGAGACTATCACAGTAGTCTCTTGTCTTTAAAATCCATGAAAAAGCAATTTAGTAAAAGGAGTGAAAAAACAATCCCTATTTAGGCACACTTAATTTGGTCTCCATCAGTTTAGATTAATGCTACAAGAAAAGCTAAGTCAATATAAACCAGATGTAGCACCAGTGTAACTAAATCAGTGGAATGCTGCACCTTTAGTTAAATGTAGCTGTGAAAAGAGACCAGGAAGAACGTTCCCTGATGTCTCCAGAGCTGGCTGTTGAGGTGCTGCTCTCAAAGCTTTGCTGTAGAGAAGTCCAGACACATTGAATAATATGTTTAATATGCCAGGGCTAGTCCCACATCCTACAAATTTCTCAGTTCACCTCAGGATGGTCCAGATAGTGAAACATTTAACTGATGACAATTTTAAGTGGCAGAATAGAACCAGAGGGACATGGGTTAGCTGTGTCTGCTCCTGGAATCAGGAGTAAATAGATTTAGACTGCTAAAACTGAGTAAATACTTCTAATTGCAGTATATGGTGGTAAGGAACTTATTCTGATTTTAAGCATTTTAATTCCTGAGTCTTAAATCCGAAAATAAGCTATAATTGAAGCAACCCTAATTATACACAGCAGGCAAGATTCTCTAATTGATTTATGAATTAACTTCCATATCAGTGGTGTATCTGCATTCCTTAACTGATCATATGGGTTTTTTCATCCCCATAATGGGAAATATTAATTACCTTCATGCACTAGGAAGGATAACGCTTAGTCCTGGAATAATCTGAGCAGATACATTAAACACTTGTCTCCTAGAAATTCATCCCACATCCATCTGTGCTCATTAAATCATCAAATTGCTCAGAAGTACCAAATTATATTTTTTTTAAAACAAATTATGGTTTTCAGACCACTTGTTCTTTTCACATCTGGCAGTGGAGGAATTCGCATTCAACGTCACTCAGCTCCGTGTTTTGCTTGTTTGCATTTTGGTGCATTTCATCCGCACAGTAGGAGCAATTCTCTGAGAAAGAAAAGGGAGGAGAGGGGAAAAAAAAGGTTAGATAAACAGATTCAGATGCTGGATGAAATTTTTAAAAGCTGCAAAGCATTTCAGTGCACTTAGTTGTACTTGGCTTTCTGTCTCCCAACGCCCATCTGTGCACATAGAGACAGAGCACTGAAAGGTTGGAAGAAGTAGCACATTCCTTAATATTTACGGCATTCGAAATGAAGCTCCTGCAGGCAGCAGAGCACCACTACTTCTCTCATAGAGGTTGGCTTGCAGCTCCAGCACTGGCCATATCCAGGCTACTGATCAAACCTGAGTGGTCATGCTACTAGCCATATTGAAGGTTCATTAAAAAGCTCTGATTGCTTGCAGCTCGATGGTCATGATTTAAGGGAAGAATTGCTTATTCCGCTGCCTGAGAGCACAACCCTTCATGGGAGTTGCAGCCGGCCAGACAGGAAGGTGAAGTGAGCTTTGCCCTCTCGGAGATGCTGTTGATGTTTATGCTCTCATTCATTTTTGTGCACCAGGAGAGTGAGGAAAACAATTATTTTCTCTTATCCTACTTGGTATTCCAAAACATAGTTATGGATGGCTGGATTAGAAAGGAAGTTGCTCCTAGCTCTCCTGTCATTTAGCCTTGATTTTTAGCTGGTTTGCTGGGATAGTTGGTGCCCATGTCTGTCTTCTGGGTGTAGTTTCTCACTATCAGTTTATAAACCCACCTTTCTTCAGCTGCTCTCTGCCATAATGCATCCAGCAGTTCGAGCAGCAGAGCGGAGAAATTTCCCAGGTGGTGTCCTTGTCACTTAGTGTTGCAGTGATTGGCTGTCAAGTGACTACCTCATTAGGCTGTATGTGCCCCACACACTCTTTTCCACCTTCTCCTCCCTCCAGTTTCTACTGGCACAAGAAACTGGACCAGTACAGCGATGCGCTGTGGTCAGGCAGGGCCTGGGCCAGAGACTTTCCCACATTCTACTGATGCTGTTGGTTCAGGTGGAAGAGGGGTGTGCTGTCTGCCTAACAGCACCAAAGCAAACACTCCCCTTGCCACCCCCTTCAAGAAAATATGACTGTACGTTAAGGCAGACAGGAGAGTTGAGCGTGCATGTGTATGTGCATGAGTCATGTTCCCCTCACTGCCTGGCACTGTTCCCAGATGAAAACCTGAGTAAGACATGTCACGCGTTGTTGACTCTTTTATAGTAACTGGCACTAATTCTGCCATGTTATATTCTGATGAAGCAGTTGTATCCAGACTTGCTGTCACGACTGGCGTATCTATGCCCTGTTTCTATGGTTTTCACAGAGCCTTCAAGCCAGTTCTGAATTTGACCTTTAAAATAGACCCCTCCATGTTTCCGTTTATCCTTTCTACAAATCACTGACACATTAGAAATTGAGCTCCCAATTCAAGCAAGCGTTCAAGCATGTGCTTAACACCCATTGACTTCAATTTTGCTGCACACGTATATCTTCTTTGCCAACAGGGAAAGCAAAGGAAGGAGTTTTTTTCTTTCCTGGAAAGTGATAATAGAGAAATGACCCTAGGAGTAAATTCTGACTGATCAGTGACATGTATGCACATGGTTAAGTGCTTCTCTGACTAGGGATACCTGCCTTAGGACTGAGAAACTGGAATTAACCATCTCAAAGTTGAATCCTGCAATATTTCCATCAGAAAGGTAAAAGATCCAACTGAGATTTGTTCTTCTAAGGCTGCTGATTCAGACACTGTAATATGGTGAAGCAGGTTCTGGCTTGTAGTGTGCAGAGGCACTTTGCAGGTCTCTGCAGTCTACCAGTAAAAGCTTGGAGAAATATTGTTCCACCAATAAGCAAGAGCAGTGGTTAACTGGACTAGATGTTTCATTGTCACCCATTATCTATCCTCACACAAAACTGTGTAACACACAAGGGACCTGTTGGAGTCGCAGGACTGGACTCCTGAAACCTGTCCTTAGTGCATGATATGTTAACAAACAGAAACTTGCATTAAGCTTCTGCATTCAGGCACTCTAAAGGGGACTGGATTGGAGGTTAGCCCTGCAGATCTCATTTACCTCATTGTACATCTGTTTTCTTAAGTTTCTGTAGCTCCAGCAGTGTCCTGGATGCATGTGTTTACTCAGTGAGCAGATACTCAGTGTTTTGGGGTGTTTTTTTAAATCTCAATGTCCAAGGTCTGAGCCCAGTCTTTAATTACTGATCAGTTCTGATCAATACTGTTCAATGCCTGTCTGTGCACAGTGACAGAGAGAGCCTGCATGAGCAATTTAGTCCAGATAACTGACTCCTACACAGCTAGGGTGTATGCAATGAGTCTCACTCGGTGGAAAGTGTGGCACGAGGCTTTGCAGCTAGAGGAGTCAGAGAAGCCATGTTCCCCACGCCTGTGCTACTCTGAGTTTCGTGGTGGTCCCCTACTAGACATCCTCCAAACTCTGTGAAAGGTGGGGTGGTGTTGGCAGCCACACATCTCTTCCATGTCAGAGCCCTGACTCACATCCAGAGCAGGACATCTTGTGCACTAAAGGAGGCAGGCATCCTATGGGAAAAATAGTATGCAATCATGTAATGAAAGATTATATTGCATGCAAGCAAAAGTGAAGTCATGGGCAATTTTAGTTGCCTGTTTCTTCATCTCAGATGCATGGGTGTGAAACATTCTTGTTCTGTTAAGGTAGTGGATGTCTTTATGCATCTACATACCTGACATTTTTAATCAGTTTGCTTTTTTATAGGAAACAAAACCAGAACTTCCATCATGTAACATCTATTTGAGGTTAGGAGTCTTAGCTACACTTTCCAGATGTCAGCAGTGGTAGCAAAGGGAGAGCTGAGTGGGAGAGGTGTTTCTTTTGACTCCAAGGACAAGTGCTATGAAGACAGGGGACAGTGGGATTCCCAGGTCTTTGCTGACAGCAGCGGGACAGTGATGATGGATGCATTCACAGCACTGAGTGAGGTAGTTGCTGTCAGGTCCCTGTCCCACCCTCAGCCCTGCTGGCAGCCTCTACCCCATGCAGTCTCCTGCCCCACAGGATGCCATGTCCCAGCTGCAGGCTCCCTGACACCAAGGCTCTTTACTCTCCTAGACTCAGCTCAACACAGCAGCCCTTCTCAGCAGCCATACCCACACCTTCAGTCAAGGCTTCCACTTTTCATCATGGTCTCATTTCTCTCTTGGCCCCCAGTTTTTCTTCCATCAGCCTTCCTCTCCCTCCACCCCCACCCTCACCTTACCCTGCTCTCCAACTCCCTGAGGTTTCTCTGTCCAGGAAAACCCCATTCTCCGTTCTGGCTGACACTACTCACAGCCTCTCCTCATGTATTATCCCAGGCACCAAGGACCCTCCCCTAGCCACTGCCCATCCCAGACAGTCCCCTCCAGGGATGAAATGCCCAGCCCAGGGATGCCACAGCAGCCAGTAGTGGGGAAGTCCAACATCAAGTCTGTGCCATGAGGAAAAAAACGAGAGGAACCTATTGCTGGGAAAGGAAGAGAAATGCAGCCTCAGAGGTCCCACAGAGATAGGACATCTTGGAGCATGAATCAGCAGAGATTTTACCTTCGGTGCTCATACAAGCCTCTACTAAGCATATGCCATTTTGGGGTGGTTTGAATGCTTTTAACCTGATCAAGAGCAGGTGATTTTCCAAAGGAACACTATCCTTGACAGACCAGCAGGGCCACAGGAGAGGTCTTTGCTCCCAAGTATGGGGAGCTGAGAGCAGCTTGTGGAAGCCCTCACTTGGGTCCTGTTGATGTTGCAAAAACCCTAATGTTATTCCTGGAGGTGATGAGACCATTGGGCTGAATGTGGGACCCTCAGCCAGATGTAGTCAACTGCTGTGGAGAGTTTGAGCCTAAATGGTTAACATTTCGCAGAATAACAACTATCCAAAAGTATGATTTACAACAGAAAATATCAAACATTGTTAATAATAGGCAGAGGTGGTTGTCATCACAATTGTTGCCCAGCTAATTAGCATTTTTAAAAGTTGATAATTTAGAGGTGTGATGTGACACATAAAAAATTGGGATGGCTCTGAGATACATGTAAAATGCCAGGAAGCAGTTTGGTGTAAGAAAACCTACAATTTTATAGTAGCTTCTCAAAGAAGGGACAAAAAGGGAAATGGAAAGGGGAGATATAAATAGAAGTATACAGGACTGCCTTTTTGGGAACAAGGGAGGATGTCTGGGAGAAGAGATCTTTTCTGCCAAAAAAATATGGCTAATATATGTATTTGCAATTCAGTTCCAGAGGATAAACTGGACTGAGATGACACCTGGAGGTCTGGAGGGGTGGCCCAGCAGCAATCTATGGGCAGGCAGCCCCACGTCCGCAGCAGTGTTGTGCTGCTGTCTGCTGCAGCCCTCACCTGGCTGCCTCTCAAAAGCCCTGCTTCAAAAGCCTCTCCAGGGAAAAAGCATAGCATCTTTTTTCCATCTCTCATGGAGGATTCTTAACTGATTTGCATGGTTTTTTGTATCTAAGATTTCATTATTCTATCAAAACCACTTTGGTGCTATCCTATGAGGTACCGTAGTTAATTAAATTTAAACCGTAGCATTTGGGGTTTCCTTAAATGGGAAAAAGTACTTCATTAGGTAATGCAGCAACTGAGATTTATTTTTCTAAATCTCTAAGGAGATACTGTATAGAACCCCTTTTATGATGATGGGCACATTCCTGTTGAGCGTGGTCACCTTCCTCCTCATGTGAGACTTGTAGGGACTAGCAGCTCCTCACTCCTAGATGTAGTCTGGCTTTAAAAGGATGGCTTTTTGCTTAAGGTATGACATGAGGTGTTGGCAGTCCCAGCTGGGTCTTTGGGGCAACCCACACCAAGACACCACCTTTTTCTTATTTTCTGTTTCCTGATCTGCCAAAAGGTCCCATGAGTACTTCTGCACCACCCAGCTGCTGTTGAGGTCTGACCCTCTTCTTTCTAAAAGCCTCTTGAGATCCTGGTGCAGAGCCCCAGTACTCTGTGATTTTGCATAGAGATGCAAGATCTGAAACTTGGCATCATCTTAGCTACAATTGTTCCACTCTGATAATTTAATTAATCAACACTGCAGCAGAGTGTTTGAAATAATGTGTGCATTCATTTGCATAATGGCTGTAATTGGTAAAGCTTCATAATTTAAGTGTAGCAGTTCCAGAGATGATCGCATGATAGACCATTTTACTGCAGCCAGCCAGCAGCACAAGTTTCAACCTCTGTTACTTGTTTTTCCATGGAAGCAGAAAGTGACAACTAGATTTATTGATTAGATTTACTGAGATTTATTTATTTTAAGGACAGAGATGACCGGGAGATTTTTGATAGCACTTGAACACCTGTATTTTCTACATGACTATGGTTTTGTGTCAAGATAAAAAGGCTGTAGTCATGTTTTAGAGCAGAATCTCCATTCCGAATGGAGCTGAATGCTTTTCCAAGTAATGGGATGTTTGGCTGTGGAGATGCCCAAACATAGACCCAAATCTGGTATTTTCACTGTCATGTCTAAGTGGAATCCCTAGTTTCAGAACCGCAGTCAGTAGGTACCCGAGCAATGTCTGCAAAGAAGATTAGCAACTGCCAATTAGTCCCTTGCTTTGGCACCATGTCACTGGGAATGGCCCCAGGGAGTGCTCCATAGCCTCCAGGGCACGTTGAACTTAGTCTTGGAGGAGAGGATATTATTTAAAATAAATACTCGCCTTGTAACAAACATGACTGAGGCATCAGTGGCCATGCCGTGGTTGTGGAAATATTAATCCTCAAGAGATGGGCTTAGGTAATCAATTGGCATCTTTTAACTATCTTACTATATTCATTACTTTGCAATTAGCAAGACAGTTATTGATTGTTAACCAAATGCCAGATGACTGTGAAAGGACATGTGCTGAAGAAAAAAACCAGTGCAGCAGAAATATATTCTCTGCTCTGCACACAAGTGAACCAATATAAAAGGGCCCTGTCTGCACTCTCAGGAGGACGCCTGCTGATAAACCTGAGTGCAGAATAGCTGTATCAGGATCAGATCTGTCATTACTTCATTAAAATTAAGTGACATTTGAAAACTAAGTTCCCAGGGAGCCCTGTGAATGGTTCAGGACAGAGGCCCACTCTTGGTTTGAAGAGTGCTTCCAAAGTCATTAGATACCCCTGTTTTAGCTTCCCTTTCCCAGGTTTGGGGGACCCAAAGTATGTCCCCAAGACAGATAATAAGAAGAAAAATGTGAACTGCTTTAGTTAATCTCTGTCTATATCACAAGCAGTTGGTGGGAACACTGCAAACCCCATTTTTGTGTGGAGCAGATGCAGTGATGCAGTGCTGAATGTGACACATTACAGCAGAGGCAGATGCAGCACTAGGAGAAAGCAGCCGAGTCCCTGGTGCAGGCTCAGCGTGCGACCAGGAACAGGGACCACCATGAGTAGTCCCATCATTTGACAATACCTTCCTGCTTTCATGGCCTGGCTCCAGAGTAAATCCCCATCAAGTCTTCGGTCAAGCTGGCCAGAGATCTCCCCATAATACTGAGTTTTAGTGAGATACAACCATTTGGTAACGTAATTTATTGATGTTTCCAGAGATTTTTTTCCTCAAGATTTCTGACTCACAGGAAGGCAGAGAGGAGAGGTGAGAGGACACACAGCCAGTTTTTTAAATAAATAAAAAGCTTCCCATGTCCTGAAGTTTGTCCTGTACAGGCTGTGAGCTAGCACGATCCTCCAAAGCTACCCCCGAGGAACCTGCCCAAGCACTGGGTGCAGGAAGGGAGGAGGAAACCTGCCTCCCTTTTCTTTCCCGGAGCAAGATGACATGATGCAGAGTTTCAGGCAGCTGCTGGCACTGACACATTGTTAGCACTCCAGGGAGAGGAGTCTGAAAGCAGCGCTGGGTTCTAGGACTTGCTTTACAGGTCAGCACCAGAAATAGGGAAAGGACCCCAGTAGTTAACAGCAGCTTGCAGGTGTCACCCTGGAGAACCACTAAGGTGTCCTCTGATTTTGGGAGTGGTTCCCTTCCTGTCAGCCAACCTGTCCGCTTACACAGCCCTTCACGACCAGGGGAGCATCCATGAAGGTGAGGGCTTGGGCCAGTGTAAAACTATAGAATCATAGAATCATAGAATGGTTAGGATTGGAAGGGACCTTAAAGATCATCTAGTTCCAACCCCCCCTGCCATCAGCAGGGACACCTTCCACTAGATCAGGTTGCTCAAAGCCCCATCCAACCTGGCCTTAAACACTTCCAGGGAGGGGGCATCCACAGCTTCTCTGGGCAACCTGTTCCAGTGTCTCACCACCCTCACAGTGAGGAACTTCTTCCTAATATCTGATCTAAACCTCCCCTCTTTCAGCTTAAACCCATTTCCCCTTGTTCTGTCACTAACTGCCCTTATGAAAAGTCCCTCCCCAGCTTTCTTGTAGGTCCCTTCAGGTATTGGAAGGCCACTATAAGATCTCCCTGGAGCCTTCTCTTTTCCAGGCTGAACAGCCCCAACTCTCTCAGCCTGTCCTCATAGGAGAGGTGCTCCAGCCCTCAGATCGTCCTGGTGGCCCTTCTCTGGACTTGTGTCCAGACGAAGATGAATGTCTTGCCTGGTAGAGTCCGCTGGACGTGTGATGCCTGGCTGCTCCCGCCAGGCACAGGCTCGATTGCTGGCTGACCAGGTCTTTGCATTTTTGTCTCCTAAGGTACCGCGTTGTGGTCCCATACCCGCCGCAGAGCGAGGCCGAGATCGAACTGAAGGAAGGTGATATTGTGTTTGTGCACAAGAAGCGGGAGGACGGCTGGTACAAAGGGACGTTGCAGAGGAACGGCAGGACGGGCCTCTTCCCTGGGAGCTTTGTCGAGAGCTTCTGAGGATGGCTCGCCACTCTCTCAACTGAAGGAGCTTTCAGGGGAAACTGAATAGCACAAGAAGAGACAGCAAAGGGAAACTGGACTGATAACCACTGCCATTTTTATTTCCAAAGACTCTCCCCAGGCCCTTCAGTCTACAGCTCTGGAGACGCAGTGCCCCACTGTGCTCCTGAGACCGCGTGTGGTGCATACAGTGGTATGTTGAAGTAGTGCCTTCCACCTGGAATCACAGACTGAAAGGACACCCATCTGGACTGTACGTAACCTAATCTCCAGCTGTTAACCCTTTGTGTAAATTATAGAGAAGATATCTTTAAAAAAAATTTAAGAGGGAAGTTGTTATATTGCTGTAACTTATTTGTCAGAGCTGCAGTGTTCTTATTACTGGCCTATGCAAGATGGATTTGAGAGTTCAAGGAGGTGTGCTAAGAAGCTCTTAAACTGAGATTTCATTTTTCCCAAGGGAAAAGAGGGAGGGGAGGGTGGAGAAAACCCCAGCTAAAGATCGGTACATCGTCATGCAAGAGAGAATGAGGTGTCCAAAACATTAATGTCATGCTTTCTATATACCTCAAAGATATGCTGCGCAAGTTTGTCAGTGAGTGTGTTAGTGCTCAGAGTCCCATACCATCCTGTGTCCCGGTGCTACCGCCGGGGAGGTCCTGGAGGATGTATGGCTCCACCATTAAACTGTGGTTATTTGAGCAGAATCCCTTTTGCCTGTCTTCTTCCCTTATTATACGCAGCATGGATTTTTGTCCTTCAGTATCACTTTCCATTGATTTTTTGTATGACGTACCTTTTTACTGTAAGAATTGCTCTACTTTATATATATTCCTACTAGATCAGACATTTCCTCTTTTTCATACATCTGGTGCTATTTTTTTTAATTGTTAAAGATTTGATTTGGTTAAATAGAGAGGCTGCAACAAGATTTGCATTCAACATATGATATTAGAAACGTACCTGAAGACTGAGATCAGACTGCTTGTTTGTGCTTAGAGGAAAAGAGAAAAAGCCGCTTGGTCATCGATAAGTATACCTGGGGAGCGTGCCTGTGCAACACGCACACGCTCGCTCTCTCCCACTCTATTTAGAGTGGCTGAAGACCCATGCTGAAGCACAACATTCTGTCTGGGGAGTGATAATTACTCCAGAATTGGAAGTAATTACCAGAGGAGTTGTTTTAATTGACTTTTTCATGGCAATAAGAAGAACACTGCAGGTTCTAGCACGCACAGGGACCGTGGAGTTTTCCTCTGTCGTTGCATCACGGAGATGAGAGCTGATCTGCGACGGCTGTAATTAGCATTATCGAAATGTGATTTCTTACTGTAGAAATGTACAGTTCTGGAGACTGTTCGATTTCTTAACATGGTCAAGCTACAATACAAACCATATCAGGCAATATAAGCTTCCATCTACCAGGGACTTAAAGGTGCAATAAATGTAAAGCAAGTTTAGCCAGTTACTTGTATGAAGCAGAATGAGAAAAAATTCAATAATGCAATTGTGAGAGTATTTAAAAAGACATTGGCTCTTGAGGAATGAAATGTGATGAAAGGATTTTCATAGCTGTATCCGTACCTTGCCTTTGCCAGTGGCTGGCTGTTTGCCAAAGCCCACATGTGGTGGTCATTTAAAAGCATGTCGGAGGCACTGTAACCTGGAGATGATCTTATTAAAAGGAAGAGGCCCAGTGGGTGAACATCATTACTGCATTACCAGTATTTCATATGTGAAGGTGTAAGTTTTGTTTTCATTCAAACCGTGTATAGTAGTACTTATCAAAACCCATGTAAGTGAGCGTTCCTATTTAAGTTCAGCTCCGTGACTTTGTTCTCTGTAAAATAAGTTTCTTCTTGCTGTCACATGTAACAAACCGATTCCAGAAACACAGTCCATGGCCAAGAATAGCACCTTCAAACAAGGAGGCATCATTTTCAGGGTGTTTCTTTTTATGCTTAACGTTGCTGCATTTGTTCGTATTCCAGATTGTAATGAGTCAGCCACTAAAAGTTTAGTTACTGTTGAGAGGAAATTGCCTTTTTATAACCAATAAGAGACTGAAGAAATGTCTTCTGGAAAGACTTGCTTGAGACTAGAGCCATATCTGTCCACTTACTTGGTCCAGATCAGAACTGGTATCACTGCACCTCCAACAGTAAACTGCACAGTTAGCGAGTCAACAACGCCAAAATGCATTATCGATTCCAATAAAAATTCTGGGCTAGATCTGTCAGAGACGAGGAGATTTTTTCTGACAACTTACAGTGGTTAAAGCTCTCTTAAAATTCTGTTCCGGGGGTGTATTTACTACACTCAAAAAAATGAAACAGGATGACGGCTTGCTTGCTGCCTATTGTGTTTAGCCAGATCTAAAATGGTTCCAGATTTCCACCTTTTCATGCGTAACTCTAACAGGACAAAAGTTGGTACGTGAGGAGATCAAGGAAAACATGCAGATGTCATCTCATGAAATCAGTTCTTTAAAACGTATTTTGCAGGGAGGATGACCTTTTCTTTTAATGGACGACAACCCTTCCAGTCCTACGTCCTGCAAGGGAAAATATCTGGGGGTGAGGGGTGTTTCTCTATTGATAACAGCCATTTCTGGCCCCTGTTTATTGCTTATCATCACAGTTTGGGTTCCTGAGTAATCTTCTTGGACAAATCGCTTCCATGCCAGGAGCACAAGTGCAGAACTTAATACAGCTCAGTGATATGAAAACGTGACCCAGTGCCATTTGGAAAGTCCTGGACTGAGAGAGGTTCAACTCGTACTGTGGTCTAAATTTTACCTGTCATACCAGGGAAAGGGGAAGGAGGGGGCATCTGCATCTCCTACAACAGGAGGGGGAAAAGAAAATACTCCTTCTGGCGACCTCAGTTTGTAAAATGCCAGGTTTGCTCTTCTAGAAATGGGTTCAAGTAATTGAACAATTCCTTTGAACTTTGCACAGCTCAGAAAATGTTTTTGTTATACATGGATGTTAACGTGATTTCAGAAATGTTGGCGGATACGAGTACAAATTAACTACAATGACTGTGTTTCTGATTCTTTAAATAAAATAAACATTAAGGCAACTTGACTGAGGTTTCTCTGTTAGATGGCAAAGTGAACTAACAGTGTAAGTGGCTCTGAGGTTCACAAGGAACACAGGGACGAGTCCTCTGCAAATCCTGCTCTTTTTGAGCTGACCCAACATCTCCTTTGCTTTCAGGAGCAGTTGCCACATAAGTAAAGGCCAGTTAAAGGTAAGAGATGCCTTAGCAAAAGTTAGAATCTCTTTCTGGATCTTCTTTTGGTGGTTCTGTGATTCTTCAGAATCTTGAGAAGTTAACACTTAGCTTACTTATAGAGAAAAGGTGTGTAGGTCCAGAGAAAGAGAGCGGGGACAGGCTGGGAAGAAGGACTAAGGTGGCAAGGGCAAGGCTGTGGCAGGGAGGCTGGGAGGGGACACGGCAGAAGAAGTGTTTGCAAGGAAAACAGCAGCCTGCTCGTGGGCTTCAGGGGTGCTCTGAGGTCACCTGGTGGGTTGAGCAGGTTTGTGGGAAGAGGAAGACCCTCCTCCTCCTGCCCCAGGTGGGCATGGGCATGGTGCCAGCAGGGTTCACGTGTCCCCCCAGGCTACATACAGCCAAGGAACCAGGAGAGAGGGAAGGAGCAGGTTGTACCCTGGGCATCCAAACACCTCCTGAGCCCAGGTGAGGGACATAAGCCCATTTTTGCATGTGGCCTGAGCTTCCTGATCAGCAGCACAGTGCAAAGCGTCTGGAGGGGGAGCATGCACTGGGTCTGGATGTGTTTGCCTTGATTTAGCTGGGAGATGCCTTTGAGGAAGAGGTACCTGCAGGTGGCGATTCATTGCCCCAGTCAGGAGTGCGTAGGGCAGGAAGAAGCCACGTTCAGCTGGCTCACCAGGGCATCTTTGTCACAGGTTTGTGCCAGGCAGCCACCCCTCCAGTGAGGTGACACAAGTCTCTCTTTGCCTCAGCTGGATCCTGAGTCAAAACTCTGAAACGTGGGTAAGAATTTGAGCGCAGGCAGGCAACACCTCTCCCTCTGCTCAGCCTCGCTGGCTGCCCTGCCTGACAAGCGACGTGGTGCAAAATGCCGTACAGAGGAGCCTGACCGCTATTTCCAAGCTGTTCTGCACCCTCAGTCCCCTCTGTGCTTTGCCGGGTGCTACTCCCCTGGCATCTCTCCTGTCCCCACTGCCATCACACGCCGCACACCTCACCCAGCCTTCATGCCACACATCGCCCTTTGCTCCTGCTGCAGCACCTGATAGGAACCCCAGTCATGTTTCAAAAGAAAAATAATCATCATAAAATTGTTGCATGGTTTGACTATTCCTAAACATTCGTGGAGAGCAGAACCACCTGGACAACATCTGCAGGGCTTTCCTGTGGCCAAAAGCTCTTCCTGACATTAGCAGCTCCTTATAACATGGTGAACCTGGCAGCTACACGGCTTAGCTAGTCATTGCCAAGTGCAGTAAATGAGCTGTACTAGCAGGGAAGCCAAGAGGTGATACAGTCTGGAGAAGGCCCTGTCCTCGTGTCCCAGCCTTTCATGTAGCAAAAATAACTTTCCAAGCAGTCACAGATGTATTTCCAATCACTGGGGTGCGGCTGCCTCCCCTCCCTTCGGAAAACAACTCGATTTTTCTCAGCCGCCGAGCAGCACCACTTGCCCCACGCAGCCACAGAGGGGCCAGGAGCCAGGCCACCAAGGGGCTTGTACCAGGGGGGTCCTCTTGCCCCTCAACATTCCCAGCAACACACTGTAGCAGACAGCCTGCGTGTCCCCTCTGTGTTTACAGGTACAGCTCAGCTGCAGGTGAGCCCATACCCATTTGGCTCTCTTTGGTACTCCCACCACCTGGAGACCCCCACAGCCCCAAGGAAAGACATACAGCATCCCACCGACTGGGCAAGGGAGTGACTGAAAGGTGTTTCCAACACAAATAGCTCTTTTGCACCAGCCGAGACACGACGTGGCGTTTTTGCAAAGGCAAAAGAAACAGTCCTGTGTGTGGGATTAGGAGCTTTGCAACCTCCCGTGTGCCCACATATGTCTGTGTGCAGAAAAACTCACAAGCAAGGAGGGCAGCCGGGGAGCGGGGCCACCCCAGTGGTACCTGCTCACTTCTCTCAGACAGGGCATTGGAAAGGGGGGCTGGCTTTTTAGTTAAGGGTGGGTGTCCTCAGGGAAATGCCATGCCCAGGGAAACCCCGGGCTCGGTCAGTGCCATCAGCACTGTGCAGCTGGGGAAGGTGCCGGCTGCGGCCCAGAAAAAAGATGGGGGTGAGCG